GCCACAGCTTCTCTGGCCAACCTGGGCCAGGCTCTCACCACCCTCACAGCAAACAAGTTCTTCCTGGTATCTCATCTCAATCTCCCCTCTTCCAATGTAAACCGTTCCCCCTTGTCCTGTCCCTGCACTCCCTGACAAAGAGTCCCTCCCCAGCTCTCCTGGAGCTCCTTCAGATATTGGGAGGCTGCTCTAAGGTCTCCCCGGAGCCTTCTCTTCTCCAGGCTGACCAACCCCAGCTCTCTCAGCCTGTCTCCATCCCTCTGAGCATCTTCCTGGCCCTCCGCTGGACCCCTTCCAACAGGTCCATGTCCTTCCTGTGCTGAGGACTCCAGAGCTGGACACAGGACTCCAGGTGGGGTCTCACAAGCACAGAGCAGAGGGGCAGAGTCACCTCCCGTGACCTGCTGGCCACACTTCTCTTGATGCAGCCCAGGATGGGGTTGGCTTTCTGGGCTGCCAGCGCAGGTTGCTGGCTCATGTTGAGCTTCTCCTCCACCAACACCCCCAAGTCCTTCTCCTCAGGGCTGCTCTCCAGCCATTCTCCGCCCAACCTGTACTGAGGGGATTGCCACGTCCCAGGTGCAGGACCCTGCACTTGGCTTGGTTAAACATGGCTGGCTCCCTCTTCCTTCTGTCTTTCCACGTAAATAAACACAGGTTTTGCTCTATGGCACTTCTCCTCCTATCCCCACAGTAATTTTGTGGGTCTCCAAGCCACAGGAGAACACTGGGGAGGCTAGCTGTCAAAAACCAGAGTGGCGTTCGAAAGATAAACATCCTTTGTGGACCTAGATCACCCCAAAAGCAGGAGCCACACAAGAAGCTATCAGCCAGTCCCAGTCTACCTAGAAATGTCTGACTCTTCTCTGTCCATTATTCTCCTCCCACAGCCTCCAAGGATTGCAAAACCAGCACAGACAAAGAACGGGTCACTATGTAAGTTTGCAGCATCTCAGCTACACCACGGGAGGTTCACAAAAACAGAGCCAAAGCTGATTATCTGCACTAGTGAAACCTACTGAGAAGCAGCAGCAACAAACGAAAAATCTTCAAAAACCTGGGCAACTGTGGAAGACAAGCACACACCGATCCCAAGACTACACAATTTTGGAAGATAAGCAACAGAAATGCCTGCACACACAGAACTCCTCATGGTCTGAAATCGCATCTGCTTTGTCAGTAGCTACAACACACCACTGAAGTCACTGGGACCAGTATGTAAAACTGTTCTGGTTACATGATTCCACCTAAGCATAAGCCTCTGCAGACTTCTGCCCCTGACCAAGCACTGCAAGTTTCTTGTAAATTCGTGGCAAATGGACTTTTGATAACCCCAGGTTAGCCAGGGAGAGCAGAAAGATCAACTTTTAGACTGCACCACAGAGGTTTTTTTCCTCTTCAACTGTCACTGACTAACCAGCCACCTGGGAGCAAAACGTGACACATGAATTTCCCCTTCCTGTTGGTCAACACCACACGCAACAATAAATGCCAGCATTAAAGCTGCCCACTACGTTTAGTGGGAAGGAAAAGGGGGCACTTGTACAAAATCTTTCAAGAAATCTCTGTAGCTCTGGACAACCTCAGAGCCACTTATCTGAACTCTGGCAAAAGAACTGTAAGAAATCCACGTTTCACAAACTCCACTAGAGGCACAGTTTAAGTTTCAAATGAAACATGGACAGAATTCCTTTCTACACGATGCTGCTCCCTTCGTTTATTTGGGCCCCAGCATCAGCTCTCAAATCTGCTTCGCTCACCATCGAAGTGGAAGAAGTGATTGTGCTGGTTGAGGCGTGGTCTGCCTTCTGCTACCGCCACCGGGACCAGGTTCTCCTCCAGATTTTCCCTCTGGTGATCCTCCCGCACGTGATGGCTGTCAGTGATATTCAGAGACATTCTGCAGGTGGGGCAAGATGTATCTTGTTCCAGCCAGGACCGCAGGCACGAGCTGACAGGAAAACAGTCACGTTACGGTGAGCTTGCAGCGTTTTTCCAAGACATCAGTATCACGAGTACATCAAGCAGCTGTAGCATATTCTGTACAGAACATCAGCAAATGCACAGGGACTGCTCAGAGATAATTTGCAAGGTACGCCTGATGAGCTCCTGATCACTCTGGCACAGGGCTCTTATTTCTTTCAGCTGAAAATACTCAAGTGTTCACTTTTTATAAGCGAGAGCGCAGATTTATCACAAACTTAAAACACTCTCCAAGTTTGCTGTCCCTCTAGCTCAGAACAAGCAAGTTTTGCCTGGAAGGGGAAACAAAGCCTTTCTCTCCTCTCACCATCCCCAACTGAAAAAGGACAAAAAAAACCCTGGACAAATATTTAATACATATTGATACATTTTCATAGCAGTTCTGCCACTGTGATGTGGCAATGGCACCTCCGAAGTTCTTCAAGTATCTTTTCAAACGTATCAATACCCAAATCACCACCAAAGAGAGCACCAGTCTGGAAACTCTCTAAACAGATTAATTAATACTAACCAGTGCTGTGCCATTACAATATTTACTTAATTCTGCACGTTAGCTGTCATGCAGAAAGCGAGAACTGTTTGAAATGCAGGTTCAGACACTCAGAGCTGTGCTTTTTGATTCAGACTGATACGTCCCAACTGCGGTATTTGTTGGCACATTAAACCTGATTTTCAATACGGAAGAACTGAATTTCACAGCACTGAACGCATCTCAATATTGTCACACGTACTTCACGCTTGCAGGGTGGCATTTTTTTTTCCAGCAGAAGCTCTCAAAACACTTTAGAAAGGTAGAGACATAAAAAAAGGTCCTGTTTCACAAACTGTGCTTTTGCAAATGAAGCAAAGGCCCAGATGGCAGGTTTGGGTGACAGAGCAAGGAGAAAACCCCAGCTGTGGGACCACAGCACAGTCAAGGGCACAAGCTGCCTGCACAGTTCGTGAAGCTGCAGCCCACAGACATACTGCCAAAGTGGTTTCCATCATATTTAAATGGAGGCATAAAGAATCAGAATCACAGGATCACATGGGGTTGGAAGGGACCTCTGGAGATCACCCAGTCCAACCCCCTGCCAAAGCAGGGCCACCCAGAGCAGGTCCCACAGGAACGTGTCCAGGTGGGATTTTAATGTCTCCAGAGAAGGAGACTCCACCACCTCCCTGGGCAGCCTCTGCCAGGGCTCTGCCACCCTCACAGCAAAGAAGTTCCTCCTCATGTTTAGGTGGAACTTCTTAGATTCAAGTTTGGGCCCATTTCCTCTTGTCCTGTCCCTGGGCACCACTGAAAAAAGTCTTTCAGGCCCCGTCCTCTTGACACCCTCCCTTTAAGTATTTATAAGCATTGATCAGATCCCCCCTCAGCCTTCTCTTCTCCAGATTAAAAAGACCCAAGTCCCTCAGCCTCTCCTCAGAAGGGAGATGCTCCAGGCCCCTCATCATCTCTGTAGCCTCTGCTGTCCCCTCTCCAGCAGTTCCCTGTCCTTCTGGAACTGGGGAGCCCAGAACTGGTCCCAGTGCTCCAGCTGGGGCCTCCCCAGGGCAGAGCAGAGGGGCAGGATGACCTCCCTCCACCTGCTGCTCACACTCTTCCTGATGCCCCCCAGGATGCCATTGGCCTTCTTGGCCACAAGGGCCCATTGCTGGCTCATGGTCATCTTGTTGTCCACCAGGACTCTTAGGTCTTTCTCCTCAGAGCTGCTCTCCAGCAGGTCACCCCCACCCTGTCCTGGTGCAGGGGGTTATTTCTCCCCAGAGAAGTGTTTAAAAAAAAACACGCAGTGTTTAAAAATCAGTGATGGGTTTCACGGAAACAACCAACTCCAGTAAAACTCTACCGTCTTCCTTCCAAAAGGAGGAAGTTTCAACAGAGCCTAAAGGATTCAGACACCTACTCCCATTAAAATTCCTTAATATCTACGCACAGAGCTGATCTCAGCAATGTGAATCTTCCCCGCCATCTTCTCTTCTACTCCAAATAAACAGCTACGAAACAATTCCCGTGTGACTGAGAATGGACAGCATGTTCAGCCTGTTGGCAAAGTCACCAGGCTTTTATGAGGAGAGAAACCATTCTTAGGTTGTAAATAGGGTTATTAATTACATCTGGTTTTATGTGCAAGTGTAAGTCATCCACTGTAACACGTTCCCTCCCCAAATGCACCGAGGAGGGAAGCGTAAGTCAGCTTCAGAAAAAAAATGCAAAAAGGATGCTTTTAGAGACAGAGAAAACAACTTTGTGAAGAGAAGACCCTGGGCTTCTTGAGTGCTCAGTAGGTGATTAAATATTCATACGCTTCAGTAGCACTGGCAGAGGAGTTTCTGCTATGGAGGCACATTATCTCATTAGAGACTTCTTGGAACACAGATAAATATTTATGGCAAGGTTTGTCATAAATGACAACAAATTAGCACACAGATTATAACCTCTGGTTTGACAGTTACCAGAAAAGTAAAAAGCTATTTGCAGAAAGTAACTCGCTCATATTACACCACAGGGACAATTTAACTGACCACGCATGTTAATCACATGGCGCTGCAGAAACGCCCAAGTGAATCCCCCTATCTCCTTTCATTTTTAAGCACAAGCTTGAAAATGCAAACATTGCTACAAAATATCTAAGAGAAGGTGCACCTAACTCAGCACAAGCCTCTTGCCTCCACAAGTATCTGCTACTATTCACTACTGAGTGTCAGAAACAGTATAAAGAGTGATGCTCTTTAGGTCAAGAGCCTCCTAGTTCCAACCTCCAGCTGCTTAGGGACCTTTTCAGCTAATTTGATTAACCTCTTTTATAGCCCTGATAGACTCACACCCCCCCCATGAAATCATATAATCAGACCCGGCCACCCCAACTGTCCTGAAGGACTCATCACTATGCAAGGATGCACTATATGAAAATATTCCCCATTTTTTCTTTATAGCTGGTATCTGAAAGGTACTTAAGGATCTAACTCTAATTTTTCTTCCTTACTCAACACATCCTCATGGAAGAGGATAAAGCAAGAGGAGAAAGAGTGTGCTTTACCGAGCACTTACACAGCAAGGCAGGGTACAGACCTGCAGCTGAGATGCTGTCACTTAACAGTACCATTAGCTGACAAGATGCATGCTCTTAGTTTGGGTGTAAAAAGAACACAGGAGGTGAAACAACACAAACATCAAAACGAGTGAAGCGAACATGACTTGTACTTTGTTATTACAGGCAGACCAAGACGACCCAGGCAGTAAGATACCACTGGTCATCCTGCTGTAAGAGTGTGCTTTACCGAGCACTTACACAGCAAGGCAGGGTACAGACCTGCAGCTGAGATGCTGTCACTTAACAGTACCATTAGCTGACAAGATGCATGCTCTTAGTTTGGGTGTAAAAAGAACACAGGAGGTGAAACAACACAAACATCAAAACGAGTGAAGCGAACATGACTTGTACTTTGTTATTACAGGCAGACCAAGACGACCCAGGCAGTAAGATACCACTGGTCATCCTGCTGTAACTTTCAGACATGCCTATATATATATACATATATATATATGTATGTATATATCCTTTCCTTCTACAGTCAACTTTCAGACATGCCTATATATATATATATATATATATGTATGTATATATCCTTTCCTTCTACAGTCAGGTGCACCCTCTCCAGCCCCTGGAACGTACTTGTGGAAGAGATGGCCACAGGGCAGTTTCCGTGCAGATTGCATGGAGTCCCAGCAAATGGCACAGTCGTCGTTATTGACCGCCAGCTCCTCCGGTGTTGCTACTGCAAACCTGCAAGGAAGAAAAAGGAAGAGATGATTTGACAGAAGTGATGATTTGACTTAAGCTTTGATTGAGCATCTTCCAAGAAGTATGATCATTAGGTTGAGAACCTCAAATTATAACGTGTATAGGTTCGGCTTATGTCATTTTTCTAAATGAGCTTTAATAGCTGTTCCCATTAAGATGTCTTCTTGGGATCATAAGCATTTATGGTCTGACTAATTCGGGCCTCAGATTTTGCCAACCCCCATTTGTCTTTGAGACTATTTTTTTCTTTTTTTTTTTTAAGCTAGAGCCATGCAAGCAGCTACTACACAAACACAGAGGATGCAGAGACGAGTGGTATAACAACATCTCACAGTGCTGCTGTTGTGGAATATACCCGAAAAACAACTACACAAAGGCAGGGAGCTCACTGCCATTGGTAGCTTCAGGAGGAAGCTAGAATGTGGTTCTTCCAGAACAATCAGAATGACAAAACCACATCAAGTCGCTCAGACAAGAACACTGAGACACTTGCAACTCAAACAGCTTTGTGAGCAGCTTAAAGGGCTTTAGCGGCCGCATCTCACTGAAAAGAAACAATGCGTTGTGGATGAACTTTATTATGCAGCTCTTAACCTGATATTGCAGCCATTAAATGGCTTTTCACAAAGGAAACCTCAGGAATTTCCAGAGAAGTCAGTCTTCTCCATCTGGACTACAGCAGCAAGCATCAAAGGTAGTCAAACCCACTGAAGTCCGCAATGAAAACGGTACAACAATGTACAGAAAGAGCAAGTCCCAGTTGCTTTTAAAAATATTTAGGACATAGCTGAGTTATGAAAACACTGGCTCAGAGATGCAGCAGTATCTGGCACAACCCTAGGTTTCAGGAGGCATCTCAATTACTCTATATTGCCTCGGTACAGGGGCATGGAATAAAGTAATCCCAAGGTGCTCCTCAGCTCAACTAAAAGTATAGAGTCTGTTTAAAGTTGGCTTCAGGTTTAATAAACACATCCTTAAAGCTGAGCAGGTTTTAGTGAATATTTTGCTCTAATTTCAGGCAGTAAATGAATAGCACGGCCTAATGAAATTAAGAGCATGTACTTCTATCACAGCCAAAGCCATTATTTGACAACTGAAACAGGCAGAGCCTACGCACCCGACCACCCTGGGTATACAGGAGAAGAAATCCTAGTCAGGAGAGTTCACTTCTTGCCAGTAACACACTACCACACCACCCTGGGTATTATACAAGGGAATACAGGAGAAGAAATCCTGGTCAGGCGAGTTCACTTCTTGCCAGTAACACACTACCATTAATTCTGCTGTTATAAAAGTCTATCCTACGTATTTGTTAAACCTCAAAAGCTTGTCCCCCTGTAACAAATAAAATGGGTAAAATCATACCCTGAGTGTACAGACTTTAAAAGCTGGATCTGTGAGACTGCATCTCTCTGCTTAAACCGTGCCGTTGTGTGTTAAAGGAATGTAAAAGAACCTCGACCTCTTCACGGGGATCCTCTCTCCAAGATACACATTAAGATCCCAGAGTAAACAAGAGGCTCACCTTGCTTCCATGTTTCCAACCACACGCAGGTAGTTCTTGTGCCGCCGAATTCTTCGCTGCACCTCGTGAAAGAGGTAGCGCAGCTGCATAAAGATCACCAGGCTCGCCATCGACAGCCAGATATTGCCAAACAGCTTTGGGGAAAAAACAGAAGGGGGATTAGAAACAAACACCATGGGAACCAAGAGGCAGGTCTTAAGAGAAAAAAAATAAAATATCAAGAAACCAGCAGAGAAGACTTTCTGTTTTGTTGAGCCCACTCAGACTAACCACAAGTGCTCACAGGTATCGCTACTTGTTACACCTTCAGCTGCTGTTCAGCTCAATGCCGCCTGCTGCCCGCAAAAATAACTCAGTCTGGTATTACCCAGTAACAGAGCCAATTAAACACTTATTAAACAGATAATTATACAGTAGTTAATACCCCATAACAAAGTTATTTGTGAGGACTCCAATTAGACAGAAGGAAAGAATGCCAGGAACACACACACACATCCCCCACCACTATATTTTCCTCTTTAAATAAAGAGCTTCTCTGTAATACTTGCTTCATAATACAAGCAAAGCAAAAAAATATATAAACCATGTATACCCAGCACCCTTTATTTTAAGGTCAGTCTATCTGCTCAACATGAAGTCCAGTATTTCATACCAGCATATGAATATGATGCATCAAGTCCAGTGAAAGCAAGGTCAGCTCCATGACAAAATCCGTGTAGTAGACGTAAGTGCCTTTGCCTTCCCATGTTCCTTCATGGTTGAGATCCCAGAGATGAATTACGTACCTGCGAGAGCAGAGAAAAATTATTCTAGATTAATTACGTGTCCGCAAGAGCAGGGAAATTAACATTCTTCTCTCTCTTTCGTTAAATAGCATCTCTAGCATTCAGACTGTTTTCTCCATTTTTCAAACAACTTCTGGATATGGATTCTTTGCCCTTCCTAAGCTCAGTGCCCACACTCTGTGCTTTCCTGGGGGACTTGACTTTAATGTTACTGGTTTCAAACAGCAACACTTTAAAAAGGCTTAGCCCACACTGGCATTACGGATACCACCAGCTGATGGAGAAGATGTAGCATTTGCTAAAAACCCCTGCATGTACCAAAAGCCAATCTTGGGGATTATTATAGCAACTACAGACTCACATTTTTCAGCACTGTGAGGCATTACAGCTCGGTGACAGATCTGAAATGCCAACAGTGACCTGGACAGAGAGGTTCTGTGCTACACACCACGTCCTACAAAGGCATGCATACATGCATTACAGCTACATGGGCATATTACTTTTTCAAAGCAAAAGTTCCAGAGGTTAAGATCCTAAAAGGAACCCAGCAGGATGACATTCAGTAGCACGTATCAACCCTCATACAGCAGCACCAATCCATTTTAATCCACGCCTCAAATTATTAGCACCCACTAAAGCTATCCATGCACTACACCATTCCTGCTTAAAAACAGTCGAGGGTAAGGTTAACCACCTTTGCCCCTCTCCAAACATGCATTTGCAATTCAACAAGGTAACTACATACACCTCTCAAATCAACGTGCTGGATGCACTCACTACCTTCTCCAACAACCATCCCGCAAAACGTAAGGTACTCACCGTAATGCTGGATGCACTACCTTCTCGAACAGCCATCCCGCAAAACGTAAGGTACTCACCGTAAAATCACGTGAGCTGTTCTGACTGTCACAAGCAGAGACTGCAAAAGACAGGAGGAAAGAGAAAAAGGTACGTTAACAACATCCTGGCAGGGACAGTGGTGCTGAGGCAGGAGCTACAGGGCTCTATAAGAGCTACTATAACACAAAATGCATTTACTGCAGCTTAAGGAGTTCCCGTGAACCAACAGCCACTGCAGATGACTGTGTGCACAATATACCTGTGACAAACATGAAGCTTATTCATAAATACGTAAGAAATCGTTCTCAAGCACACAATGCTCTTGGAGCAGCCACTAGCATCGCTGGTGTTAAGTCTCACGTTTTCCCCCACTACGTAGGACATGTATCTTTTTCCATTCCTATCACTCACTGAGTGTTGAGACCCCAATCCCACCAACCACCTTCAGGTGAAGGTAGGACACCTCTCCTCATCCCACCGCTCAAGAAAAATCTGAAGAACCAAATAGCAGCAGGAATCCGAGGAAGAACCATGGAAGCACTTTCAGATAATTTTTCCCCTTTGCCAAGATGTGAACACCGCAAAAGTAACTTCTCTCCTTAAATCACACTTACCTCTCTAGGCTAAGTACAGAGGGAAAAACCGAGTCTAACAGAAAGCATGAGCAGATCAGAAGTGTAAAGACAATTTAGCAGAAAGGTCTGTTTCCAGAACACCTAACAGGGGATTTACGAGCAACTGAAACCAGTTCTGTAGGACTGGTCTGATGGCATGCCTTCAGCATAAACATTAAAACCAGTACACAACTATCAAAACCACTAACTTCCCAATATAGCAATAAAATAGTTGGTTTAAAGAATTTTTTCCATTTGTGAAAAGCATTCCTAACATACTTTGATGCATGTGTAACCCTCAGTAATATCCAACGTATTTGCCAACTGTTTACTAGTTGGCTTTAAAATAAGTGTTCCTGCGACTAAACACCAGTGCAATGTTTTACCCAAAAAGGGGCTTCGGGATAAGACACAAACACATTACTCAAATAACAGAAAAAAAGCCCAGAAGGTAACATCAAGTGATGCAGCACGGTGTGCTGTTCCCATCACTAACATCTTTCAGAAAAAAAAGTTAAATTAGCAGCCCAGCTGCTCCTGCGAGGCACGTTATGAGACCTTCTTCTGTCTCCCGTTACCCAGCACGTGGGTACCAGACAGAGACTCCACTTTGTTCATGTGAGCTTTTTGGCAACGGAGAAGCTTTGAGCAGACCACAGAGGAAAAGTAAACATGTCCAAATTCTAACCAGGCAAGTGGTGAAGCAGAACGATTACCCAAGCTGCTGGATGGATACGCCATCAAGCACAAATTTGTGTCAAAACCACTACAGGCAGCATGAAGTCTCCGATAAGGAAGACATCTGTCGGGTAGCAATCTCAGGAGTCTAATGTTCACATTTTTTAAGAAATTAATGTTGCCAAGACATGACTGTGGATGCCCCATCCCTGGAGGTCTTCAAGACCAGACTGGACGGGGCTTTAAGCAACCTGGTCTGGTGGGAGGTGTCCCTGCCCAGGGCAGGGGGTTGGAACTGGATGGTCTTTAAGGTCCCTTCCAGCCCAAACCACCTTATGATTCTATTTATACTGGTTAGTGCAGACAGCAGAAGCATCAAAATTAAAAGGATGAGTTAAGTGCGGATTGGTCAAGGTGCTGGTTTCTGGTTCCTCCAGACTGTTTCCAGAAGCGCATTTCAACGTTTTGACATCAGAAATGCCTTTGCAGGAAGTACGACGTTGCGTCACAAGTTACACAACTCCGGAATCTGAGGCTCTAAATGCAGAGCAGGATGTTTTCAGCACCAACACCTCCAGAGCCCTCGCTCTGCTCCGCTCCACACACGGCTCCCCCCGGGACCGGCAGACACCAGTCACGTAGATGAGCACACGACTGGAAGGCACGCAAACCCTAAGATAACGGATGCGGTGTTAAGAAGCTATGCAGGAAAATAAACTCTTACCTGTAAGGTATAACTCTAAGATTTAAATATCACTATACAGCCTTAACTGCACTGTATGAAACAGGATCAGAGGACGGCTGCTATAGGAGTGGAGCAATTCCCTCTTACAACTAAAAAGGTGCAAAGACAGTCTGGACATTACTTGCTAAACCATAATTCTAGAATACCATATATTAAGGCAAAACAGCTTAATGTTTACTCAAAAATACAGACTGTCCTTATTCAACCTCCTCTGGGCATTTGCACATTTCACACCCATCCTTTGCAGGAAAGAAAATGCTGACAAAAAAAAACAGAACAAGGGAAAGCCTAAGGACAACCCGAGAAAAGCATCTATATTGCTTTATTGAAAACCCTGAGGCATCAAGCTAAATCAATGTTTGCAGAGTCAGGAGGGAGGGAGATGAATAGCTTAATGTAACTTAATGTAATTAAATACACACTAATGGAAGACACTTGGCAGGGTCCCTCTCACAGCATCACACCAGCCACCACCAGGAAAACATTTTAGTCTGCAAGATGGAACACTTTTTGCTGAGAGCTTGAGGACTGCCACGAGGTGTCACTGGTAGTACCTCTACAGCAAAAAACCGAAACATTTTGTTCCACTTGCACCAGAGCTGGGTACTAAAATCAAGGAAACTACTCATGGTCACCCAACCCACATAGGGTGTATTGAAAAGGCTCAGGAAAGAATGAGATATTAGACAATCTGAGGAAATAGACAATATGAGGAAAGATTAAACAGCCTAAAAGTCTTTTGCTTGGAAGAAAAGTCAGCAGGAGAAAGGTCTATAAAACAACAAATGGTGTTAACAACAGTAAACAGGGAATGATTCTTTGTGGTTTTTCAACATAAATGTATTAGAGGACAGCCAGGGACATTATCAGACAGAAGATTCAGAAGGCTCAAAAGAGCTCTTTTTTGTACACAAAGCCAAGTTAAATGTGCCTTTGGATACTGCAGAGGCCAAAGTATAAATGAGTTCAATAAACAATCAGCCAAATTTCCAGAGTCCATCTGAGGCTATCGAGTCCAACAGGCTTGTGCAATGCTCTGCTCAGTAACGTCCTCAAACGCCAGCTGCTGCAAGCCAGAGCAGAAGACCTACCTCTTCTTATACATTGCCCACAAACCTCCCCTGCTGGCCAGCAGCGGCCACGTGGACCTGTGGCCTGGCTGAGGACCACAGATGGAGCCGCTCTTTCGTTAATAAGCAGACAGAACAGCTCCCACTGAAATGAAAAGCTGGGACCCAAACTACGTACACCGCTACACGGCGCGGCGCTAACGAGGCGGCACTTCGTCACTGCCACGCTCCCTGATAAACCTACCCCGTGCTGGCACGAGGCTGACACATCCTTCTGCCAAGCCAAGATAAGAGACACAAGGCCAACGAGACCCCGCCTGTCAGAGACACTGACAAATCTCCAGTCCCCTTCCACTGTGTAACTACAAATCTGGCCTTGCAGATTCTTGTATTTAAAGAGAAGTAAACTGACATATTAGAGAACTGAACTGTGGTGTTCAGTTCAGCATCATGTTCTTCTGCTATCAGCTGACTGTTTTCCTTCCTCCTCACTAACTCCAAGTATGAATTCAAGACAGGAGAAGAAAAATAAAACGTACGCGCTGGTTGTTATCTGAGCTAAGGATGTGCTAACACGACTTGTTTGCAATTACACTGGTTACCACCCCCTTTGTATAAGATTATCAGTTCCTCAGGCAGAGCGCAGCAACACACCATAACATCACAAACATGCTCCACACACATACTGATGTTTACTCCACACCACAATGGCTTCAGGAGCGCACCAACAGGAGCTGCTCACCTCAGCTGAGATGCATCTCTTTGCACAAACGTAAGCAAATCCCAAGAGCATGCCTCAAGGAAAGGATGTGAGTCTCGTTCCTTTTTTGGCAGAAATAGAAAACACAATCTCAAAGAAACAGGCTGAGGTGCACATTACACTTTCATGTACCCTCTCTCCCTCTCTCTAGTGGCTGGTTCAACTAACTCTTCTTGTGATGCTCATGAAGCACGAGCATTATTTTTTCATAGGCTGCCATTTCATTTCAGCATCATCTTACGGATTTATCCTCTCATCCTCTTCTCAGACCAAGCCTTTTTGCAGGCTTAAACTCTAAAGAGAAAAAGCGTGCTGATCTTATCTTAAAGAGAGGGCTTGTTTGCATCTTGGGAGTATCATCTTCCTCGTGGGATGCTGAAAGAAAACCACGATCCCCCCTGAGTGAGGACCCACAAGGGGTGTGAGGGCAGTCTCACCTCTGCTGCCATGAAAGCCAAGGTGTGCATGCCGTGTGTGTAGCCGATGACGCCGCAGACGAGTGAGGGGTGAAAAGCAAAGCAGGAAGCACGAGGGGTGTGAGGGCAGTCTCACCTCTGCTGCCATGAAAGCCAAGGTGTGCATGCCGTGTGTGTAGCCGATGACGCCGCAGACGACTGCTAACCCGCAGCAGGAGAGGAGCATGGCGACGAGCAGGGCCAGGACTCGGATGTGGCTGCTCAGGGGCGTGGTGGGAGAAAAGGAAAGCTGCAACGCAGAACACAGAAACGTGTCACGGGTTTAAAGGGAATTAATTCAGCCACCCTGCCTTCCACAGTCACCCCACCAAACCCCCCCTCAGCCAGGAATATCTTTTGCTTTCTAGAATAAAACCAAGACCTCAACCACGCAATGTGGTAATAAATGAAGCTAAATAAAGCTAAAACCACACAGCACCCCACAGCCTCGTTCATCTCATTGTCATTTGCACTCACCAGGCTTTTAAAGCCAGAAGGGACCATGACCGTTATTTGAACTAATGTTTAGATCACCCGTGCAAGAAAACCACGGACACTTCCTCATACAGTAGTTCCTGCATCAAATCCACAGCATCTGCTCAAGATGAACACGCATTTTGGAAAGACACCCAACCTTAATATACAGTTTTTGAGCAATGAGAATAATTCTTCTGCCAATTTTTCACCTTACAGCTGACCTGAATTCGTCCAGCTTTATCTTCCAGTCTCTAGTTCTTCCAATGTCATTTTCTTCTGGAAGAAAGAGACATCTCCCCCCAAAATTTAACTTCTGGACAGAGTCTACCAAAACCAGCTGTCTCACTGAACAGCATATATAGTGTATTAATTCTCTGAACTACCTAAACAGCAGGCTACACCTAGGCTGTCTAAACCAAAGATGATGCAAGAAACAAAGTATTTAGGTGGTCTGTCCCCTTATCTTCAGGGCAAAAAGGGGAAGAACAGGACAAGTTAAAAAAAGAAGTTGCCCAAAGCTTTGCTCTGATCTGACGGGTGAAGTTGGCTCCTGTGTTTGTTTTGTTTTCAAATTGGTTCTTTCTTGTTTATATCTGGTTCGGTTCCCCATCCCCCTGAGTTTGCAAAGCAGATCACACAAAAACCACTTGTCCAAGTAAAGAATTACGATACATGCTTTGAAGGCAGAAGGAATATAAATAGGATTTCTTCCCACATGGGCTTTGTTCTTTTACAGCTTCCTGAACATCACTAAAAATACCAGATGACTGCCTGGTTCATGTCTAGTTTCAAGCTTAGTTCTTCGTTATTTGTGAATTAGCAGGCCTTACTGAATATTAATAAATATATATCTATATATTACAAAGCACAGGGCCACCAAAATTAAATTCATGGATTCAATTTCATTCACACTTTTATTCCAGGACAGAGGAGCTGAGGAAAATGCACGTCCATGATAGATGTTTAAAGGGCAAGATTTATTGTTCAAATTCCAGTTCCTTCTTCTTTGGCCAGCCTTCAGTTTCTGCGTCCCTACTGAATTTATTCCTGGTACTACCAGAAACTGTGATACAGCTTATGGAGAAAATGGCACTGTATATTGTAAAGACAGAAACAGGCTTTACGGACCCACACTGAAGGACAGCAGTCTGAGGGATGTTCTGTTGTCAAGATTTCTTCACTAAGGAGAGCGATGAAGACATCTCACAGAGTTATGTAATAGTAATTACAGGGCAAGCATAAGGAGCAATTTATCAAAGAAAATAAGCATCTTCAGCTCCATTTGTCTGATGGGAAAACCGAAGGAGTAAGATTGACGTTGCACTTTAAAGCAAGTACTCAAAGCTACTGGGAGGTGCACGTGTCCAGCACCGCGGGGTGGGGAAAAGGTCTAAAGGATCTGTTTGTAACCTCTCATGAGCCAGTACCCGAACCAGAAACAGAATTTTCATGTCCCAAAAGGCAGCCCTTAATCAAAACTTACATATTCAAAGCGATCTTTGCAGAGCTGAACCATAAGGTGAAGGAACACAAGCCCAGAGAACCAGAGGCACCACATCACCACTTCTTCCACTGTCTGAACATTCAGCACGCCGAAAATGAAGATGAACTTGTAGAAAATAAAGTTCCAGAATTTATCCTTGAGATGCTGTAAAGAAAGACACTTGGTTACTGTAGTGAAAGCACTGACAATCCACATGCAGGGGAGAGAAGGAGGGGAAAAAGAAAGAAAAAAAAAAAAGATACGAGTAGAAATGTGACAGTAGGCTAACAAAAGCCTGCTCCATACACATCTCGAATAGTATTTGTTACCCCTACTGAATTAAAAACATATTAGAAATATCAGTGGTCCTTAGCAGCTATCTAGCCTTTTTTACCACCGCAGCATAATTGTGCAACACAGCATACAACGTAGTTTCCTGCCACACTCCTAAAGCTTCTTAGCACACACACACCAAGTTTGATCTCAATTTGATTTTCCACGCCCAAGTAAAACACCGCTAACGGGCCGCAAACACAAAGTCCTCTTTGCTGGAACTGCCAGGGTTAGTTAGACAAGATGCCCAAATAAATAGCCTATCACCTGGCTTCCAAAAGCCTGCCTAAAAAGTACCGATGATTAAGAAAAAAGATGACACAAAGTCTGCTCTTAAAAAGCACAATGCCTACAGTGGAGAAGGAGATGGGTGAGCAATGGAAAAAAAAAATAAAAAATTATTCCCACGCAGTATGAAAGAAACAATATGATGGTCTCAAGCAGCAGAGAACAAGCCAGCTTGTTGGGGATCAAAAAAAAAAAAAGAAAAAAAAAAAAAAAGAAAGAAATTGTTAAAGCACACGATGAAATCATCAGGAGTTTAGTTAAGACAGGCCCAGAATTCCTTCATGATGCTGCCGTTTTTGGCTCGCCAATGTTAAAAACCAGCTTTCCTCTCCAAGAGAGCTGAAGCTTGCTCCCACCGCCCAAAGGCACAGGCACCCGCGCTCTTACTGCTCTTCTCTTCGGGTTTTAGGAGGGTAGAGGACATCCTGGGAATTAGCACTGGTTAAAATTCCACATCCTTAGAGTCAACACAGACTGGAAAGAAAACGTGGGCCAACGCAGCCTGAGCGTGCCTTGCTTTTAGCACACTCCACTTGGAGGATTCACACTTGGGTGTGAATCACAAATACAACAGGCGTTGAGAGACCCACGACTATTAACGAAGCTCTACGGGCCTCAGTTCCACGTGTCAAAAACTCTTGGTTTTCCAAAAGAACTGCATTTACACCTTTTTTAAAAAAAATATACAAGCGCACTTCAGACCACATTTACACATCTGCCTTTCTTCTCTTAAAAAAAATATACAGATATTATTCGAGCCACTGCTGCTGCTTTTATCCTCTGCAGGATCCTGTCTTTAAAAAGCCTGGGCTTTAATGGTTCCCTTGCTGAATTTTTAAAAACATTCTCACCTAGCCCAATAACTGGAATTTTCAGCCCTGCTTACCTCCCTCTCTGGATATGTGTCTACTCCCTTTTAAACCTGAGGGCAGATAAACCACCCGTTCCGTGTCGGAGGCTGGAAAGCACTTCTCCAGCGCGCAAGGCACAAAACAAGGTGCAAGGGGGAACTCAGCCTGCCAGTGCTTATAACTAACTACCAAATGCAATGGAGAAGCGCTGCCAAACGCAGACTGAATAGGGAAGAACACTTCATAAATATTCTTGAGTGAGGCACCCTTGTAAGAAATCTACACTTGTAAGAAACCTGAAAGAGTTCATTAAGGAAGGGGGTTTTTCCAGTTGACCGTGGGCTTATAAAATAGAATAGCAACAGTGAAAAAGTTCCCTTCAGCAATAAGCTGGAAGCTTGTGGCTCTAGATAACCTAGCTAACCATGAAGGCAGATTGTTTTCTGTGTGGTTTTACTGGACATTTTCAAGAGCTGGAAGTCCAAATGGTAAGATTCATGTTATTCTTAAATTTACTTTTCTTGCGCGCTTTCAGCAATCCCATAGGAAAACCCACACCAGTCGTACAGCAAGAAATGACGAAGCAGCACAGATATCCAAGGTGACAAAGGGATGCCTTACCTGCCTCTCGCTGACACGAAGGGGACCAAACACCATGCATTGGATTAGCTTAGCAACCAACATCAGAAAACAGCAGGCAGTGTTCACCAGTACCTGCAAAGAAATAAAGCAGTCAGCAACAAATACTTTTGCCCTATTTAGAAAAAGAGAGAGAGAGGAGGGGAAAGAAGGAGCCTAACAAAACCTACCATTGTTCACAGAATAGTTTTATTGCCCTTTTTTTTTTCCTTCGTGAAATTTAAGCCTGGCCTCTTCCAAGACATGTACAGTAGCTGATAAGTCACTTCACTTTTTTTCTAGAAACACTAACACAGTCAGTTGGATACACCAGTATATCCAACACACAAACCTTTCATCACAGATTGTTTTATACAGATTAGCAAATCTTAGCACTGAGAAAAACTGAGGACAAAACTTACAGATCACCAAGGTGCTCATTTTGTTTAACGTACAGCAAATAACTCACAGCTTGGATCTGCTGCCACAGAAACAAGATTCAGACATTGTCTCAAAACACACTGAAAAGCACAGACCCCTTCTGCAACAACACAGCTTAAATCCGTCTTGGGAAACTGCTTTAAAGCAAAGCAGCAAGAAGTGGAACACACGGGCCTGGGAAACCTGCTTCTGACATTGACAAGACACTTGTAATTAACTTTTGACCTATGCAAAACACTAATAAAGTGGGGGGGGGGGGAATGATGAAGAGGCCTCACCCAGTCATTTCTAAAGGATGTACAATCAACTTTTCCAGTGCTCTTAATTTAAGGTCCTGAGACTGAGCTTCAACAGGCTGATTGTGCTGGGTATATTCAAAAATCAGCACCCAAGTCAAAAGCAAGCATGTTGTGGAGCAGACGCCCAACCAATACCACCTTGGACTGACAGACATGGGAAAGCTCAACCAGGTTTCTGATGCCCCCTTGCTCAGCCTTTATTTCAGCTAGAGAAATTACTGAGCCAAGATGCAGATAACACTGCCAGGTTTGGGATTCAAGAGCTACAGTTTATTGGGTCCTTTTTTCTTAAATGATGAGAACACTTGCTCTTACCTGCATTACTTATTTTAAAAATAAAAGAAGGCAAAGTTTGGGCTGGGAATACCTGATGGTGAGCAGGACAGGCAGTGCCTGGAGAAGGGTAAATGCAGAATCCAACAGGCACCGCAGCAAAACACCCCCAGAGCTTTGCCCAAATCCACCCACGGCTCAGGGACAAGCCCAAGCCCTAAAAGTTGAGGCTTTCATAGAATTGTCCAGGTTGGAAGGGACCTTTCAGATCATCAAGTCCAACCATCAACCCAACACTGACAAAAACCACCAATAACCCATGTCTCTCAGCACCACATCTGCCCGGCTTTTAAACACCCCGAGGGGTGGTAACTCCACCGCGTCCCTGGACAGCCTGTTCCAATGCTTGATGAAGCTTTTGGTGAAGAAATCTTCCCTAATACCCATCCTAAACCTCCCCCAGCGCAACTTGAGGCCGTGTCCTCTTGTCCTGTTGCCTGTTCCTTGGGAGAAGAAGCCGGACCCCCCCTGGCTGCACCCTCCTTTCAGGGAGTTGGAGAGAGCGAGAAGGTCTCCCCTCAGCCTCCTTTTCTCCAGGCTGAACACCCCCAGCTCCCTCAGCCTCTCCTCACAAGACTTGTGCTCCAGACCCTCACCAGCTCCATTGCCCTTCTCTGGACCCGCTCCAGAGAAGCGAGTTCCCTGAAACTCCATCACCCCGGCGGGCCCTGAAGGGAAGCGGTCCGGGGCCCGGCCGAGCCCCTTCTCCCCTCCCTTCTCTCCGGGACACCCCCCGCCGCTTTATTTTCACACACCAACAACCAAACACACCCCTCACAAGCCGTCCCCCCCCAAACCCGCGCTGAGGTGCCGGCAGAGGCCGCGCCGCCCGCCCCCGGTCGCAGGCCTCAGCCGGGCCCGCAAGGCCCCGCCGCCGCCCGGGGCTCACCCAGACGCAGAGGCTGTCGGAGAGCAGGTAGTAAGCGACGTCCAGGGCCCGCGGCCCGGTCGGTTCGCTGCCCGCCGCCCCGCCGTCCTGAGGGGCCTGGCCGAGGGCTCGGTAAGCGCTGAGGCCGGTGGCCAGCAGGGCCAGGGCGCTGAGGGCCGTGTAGGTGCGGAGGCTGGGCCAAGGGAAGCGCTCCAGGAAGAGCAGCGGCATGGCGGACACCTCGCCGCCGCCCGGCCGCCGCCCGGGCCCCGGCTCGCTGAGGCCTAACGCCCGCCCCGCCGCCGCCCGCCGCCCCTCCCCGGGGCCGGGCCAGGGAACGGGCCCAAACCACCACCCCGCCCGGCACTATCCGCTCCCGGAGCGCTGAGTCACGGCCCGGGCGGCGCTGCCAGCCGGGACCGGGCGGGACGGGGAAGGCGCCGCTTCCCCGCCCGGTCATCGCCCTGACAGAGAGCTACGGGAAAGCGGAGGTTTCTCCTCCCGTAGCCCCGCAACGGGGAAAGGGGACGACAGAGAACGGACGGCGCGTTCCAGGGCTGCGGGTTCTTGGTTCTCCCTCAACAACAGGACATGGAGCTGTTGGATGGGGCCAGAGGAGGCCCTGGAGATGCTGGGAGGGGGGGCTGAGAGAGTTGGGGGGGTTCAGCCTGGAGAAGAGAAGGCTCCAGAGAGACCTTGGAGCCCCTTCCAGTCCCTGAAGGGGCACCAGGAAAGCTGGGGAAGGACTCTTGATCAGGGGAGGAAAGCGATAGGACAAGGGGGAACAGGAGGAGGGGGAAGGGTTTGGCCCTGAAAGAGGGGAGATGGAGCTGAGCTGTGGGGAAGAACTTGTTTGGTGGGAGGGTGGTGAGAGCCTGGCCCAGGTTGCCCAGAGAAGCTGTGGCTGCCCCATCCCTGGAGGGGTTCAAGGGCAGGTTGGAGGGGGCTTGGAGCAACCTGGTGTGGTGGGAGGTGTCCCTGCCCAGGGCAGGGGGTGGCACTGGGTGGGCTTTAAGCTCCCTTCCAACCCAAACCATTCGATGTTCCATAGGACCACAGTGAACAGCCCTACCCTTCACTTTTCCAGTATTCTTTCAGTGTTGATCCCACACCGCACAGCTTCAATTGGAGTGAGATCCATAGGACCAAAGTGAACAGCCCTACCCTTCATTTTTCCAGTATTCTTTCCGTGTTCATCCCACACCGCACAGCTTCAATTGGAGTGAAGCACCAAGCTGTGGCAGCTGCTCTGCACCTAGCTCTCACCCAGACGCAGAGGCTGTCGGAGAGCAGGTAGTAAGCGACGTCCAGGGCCCGCGGCCCGGTCGGTTCGCTGCCCGCCGCCCCGCCGTCCTGAGGGGCCTGGCCGAGGGCTCGGTAAGCGCTGAGGCCGGTGGCCAGCAGGGCCAGGGCGCTGAGGGCCGTGTAGGTGCGGAGGCTGGGCCAAGGGAAGCGCTCCAGGAAGAGCAGCGGCATGGCGGACACCTCGCCGCCGCCCGGCCGCCGCCCGGGCCCCGGCTCGCTGAGGCCTAACGCCCGCCCCGCCGCCGCCCGCCGCCCCTCCCCGGGGCCGGGCCAGGGAACGGGCCCAAACCACCACCCCGCCCGGCACTATCCGCTCCCGGAGCGCTGAGTCACGGCCCGGGCGGCGCTGCCAGCCCGGACCGGGCGGGGCGGGGCAGGCGCCGCTGGACGGGGAAGGCGCCGCTTCCCCGCCCGGTCATCGCCCTGACAGAGAGCTACGGGAAAGCGGAGGTTTCTCCTCCCGTAGCCCCGCAACGGGGAAAGGGGACGACAGAGAACGGACGGCGCGTTCCAGGGCTGCGGGTTCTTGGTTCTCCCTCAACAACAGGACATGGAGCTGTTGGATGGGGCCAGAGGAGGCCCCGGAGATGCTGGGAGGGGTGGAGCCCCTCTGCTGGGAGGGGGGGTTGAGAGAGTTGGGGGGGTTCAGCCTGGAGAAGAGAAGGCTCCGGGGAGACCTTGGAGCCCCTTCCAGTCCCTAAAGAAGGGGGGCTCCAGGAAAGCTGGGGAGGGACTCTGGATCAGGGAGGGGAGCCCGAGGAGGAGGGGGAAGGGTTGGACCCTGGAAGAGGGGAGATGGAGCTGAGATGTGGGGAAGAACTTGTTTGGTGGGAGGGTGGTGAGAGCCTGGCCCAGGTTGGCCAGAGAAGCTGTGGCTGCCCCATCCCTGGAGGGGTTCAAGGGCAGGTTGGAGGGGGCTTGGAGCAACCTGGTGTGGTGGGAGGGGTCCCTGCCCAGGGCAGGGGGTGGCACTGGGTGGACTTCAAGGTCCCTGCCAACCCAAACCATTCGATGATCCATAGGACCAAAGTGAACAGCCCTACCCTTCATTTTTCCAGTATTCTTTCCGTGTTCATCCCACACCGCACAGCTTCAATTGGAGTGAAGCACCAAGCTGTGGCAGCTGCTCTGCACCTAGCTTACCCGTATGGCTGGCGACAGAACCAAGTACTTTGGCAAATCTCAGTTCTCTTGGCAGCAGGCACTGTCCAACAATGCCTTCATAAAAGAGGACATGCACAAGCACCAATGCATCTTCTGATCAGAAGTAGAATTTGGAACCAAGTCTTTTAAAGAGTTGAGCAAAACTACAGAAGGCTAAAGCATTGGGAAAAGACACATCCAACTGGAACTGATGTTTAGCCAAGCACGTAAAAAGAAAAACTCTAAAAGTGTTGATATTTACTACCTGCTAGAGACTGAAATGATGAAGTGAGGAAGAAGTATGAGTATCTCTAGCAGGATGACACAGCACGCTCATATGCTACAACAGCTCAGCGTAGCGTGGAACCACCTGCATATGGTATTAGCAAAAATATTTCAACATTACCCAAATTCTGTCCTGTAGCTATAGAAAAATATACAAAATGTATCGCTCTTTCCGATTTTAACTGGATATCAGGCCAGTACAACAGATTTTGTTGGGGTATTATTTCCTTAAGGGGGCACAGAGGGAAAAGATACACCTTATTATCCCCTCCGAGCCTTGTACGGACAGTAATGCTTCCACATCAGTTCTGGTAAAGCTTTGAGCAAAGGCTACACTTGCCTTTAAGTACTCATACTCCCTCGAAACAGCAACTCTGCTCTATAAGTTTAAAAAAAAAATAAATTCAAAATTATATTGTACCCACTTAACGCTATTTAATCTCTCTCTCAGACTAACCCCCTGCTCAGGGATGCAGATCAGAGCATCCGAATGGGTTAGGTCCTCCTCCACTTTCCAGGATCTTCTGTATTCCTCAAGGAAAGTAATAAAGTTTAAAATATATACCTAGTACAAGTAGGAGACTTGTAGGTACGTAGACTAAAGCAAAAAAAAAAAAAAAAAATACCAAAACCCAAACCAAACACACCCAAGACGAACAGAATCTGAACCATTTTGTTTAATGTTGTACAAAAAAAATTCGGTGAGTATTACAATGAAAAGTGATTAAAACATCGATATCACATTGCCACCCCACTACCTAAACAGTTGAGATTCACTTCTCTATTCATACAATAGAAAGTTTAGTGGCCTTCAAGAAAAGAACAACATAAAAAAAAAAATCCTTGCATCACACATATTCTTTTCTCTACATTTTTAAAGCTGTGCTCACAGAGACGGCTTCTTCTATCAGGCTCTTCAGGCATGAGGGAACTCAGTTGTAAATAAAGTTGAACCTAAAATGAAAAGGATTTTACCCAGTGAGGAATGTTCATTCTTTTTATTTAAGTGACATTTTGGAATAAATAAGGAAACGTTTTGTTTGTGTTCTTTATAAGGCTCCATCTGGTATCTTTGGCTGTACAACAGCTGGGGTTTTTGCTGGGACTCGGGAGAAAGTATCTGCTGTCTTTAGAGCGGGGAAAGAGGGGAAGCCCCCGGAACTACAACTGCCCAAAATGGGACAAAATAGAGAAAAAAAACAGCACGATACAAGCCAAGATGGGCAATACTGGTGGTGACACTCTGCTAACAGACTTTATTCATCCAAGTAGGTGGATGACAGCGCTACTTCCCTGAGTAAAAGACTGACAGCCCCTGGGATGCCCCAACATTTGCTGAAGGAACAGAAACCAGTCAGACCAGACCGTGCTGGAGATCCGAGGCAGGAGCCCTTTTCAGGTAAGAAAACCAAACAGCATGTTCGCTGGGAAAAGGACAGAAAAAAAATGACAGCTGTCCCTGCAGACACTTGTGTTATAAAGGTGCGACATGTTATAAACTCTACTACATGGAGTCTAACAACCCACCATACTTTATAAAGTTCAACAAGGAAAAGTGTAGGATCCTGCATCTGGGGAAGAAGAATGTTAGGCATCAATACAGGTTAGGCATGGACCTGCTGGAAACAAGCTCTGAAGAAAAGGATCCGGGGGTCCTGGTGGACAACAAAATGACAATGGGCAAACAGTGTGCTCTTGTGGCCAAGAGGCCAACGGAATCCTGGGCTGCAGAGACTTTTTTCATCCAAGTAGGTGGATGACAGCGCTACTTCCCCGAGTAAAAGACTGACAGCCCCTGGGATGCCCCAACATTTGCTGAAGGAACAGAAGAAACCAGTCAGACCAGAGCGCGCTGGAGACCCAAGGCAGGAGCCCTTTTCAGGTAAGAAAACCAAACAGCGTGTTCACTGGGAAAAGGACAGAAAAAAAATGACAGCTGTCCCTGCAGACACTTGTGTTATAAAGGTGCGACATGTTATAAACTCTACTACATGGAGTCTAACAACCCACCATACTTTATAAAGTTCAACAAGGAAAAGTGTAGGATCCTGCATCTGGGGAAGAAGAATGTTAGGCATCAATACAGGTTAGGCATGGACCTGCTGGAAACAAGCTCTGAAGAAAAGGATCCGGGGGTCCTGGTGGACAACAAAATGACAATGGGCAAACAGTGTGCTCTTGTGGCCAAGAGGCCAACGGAATCCTGGGCTGCAGAGGGAAGAGTGGGTCCAGTAGGTCAAGGGAGGTCATTCTCCCCCTCTGCTCTGCACTGGGGAGGCCACAACTGGAATCCTGCCTCCAGTGCTGGGCTCCCCAGTTCAAGAGAGACAGGGAACTGCTGGAAAGAGTCCAGTGTAGGGCTACAAAGATGATTCAAGGATTGGAGCATCTCCCTGATGAGGAGAGGCTGAAAGAGCTGGGACTCTTTAGTCTGGAGAAGAGAAGGAGGGAGAAGAGGGGAGACCTTATTAATGCCTACAAGTATCTCAAGGGCGGGCTGAGGGAGGAGGGAACCAGACTCTTTTCAGTAGTTGCCAGTGAGAGGACGAGGGGCAATGGGCACAAGTTGGAACATAAAGGGTTACACTTGAATATGA